GTCACACGTAGGCTCACTATTGGCCGACGCTGGTCATGTGTGTGATGCGTGTGACGTACAACCTAGAAGCGTTGCGTAGTTTCACTATGTGAAATCTCGAGGCCCACGGAGAAGGAAATGAATAGTTGAATAAATTCGTTATTTTTGTTTGTTTTTTTGCGCACAAAAAGTATTCTCGTCACTTGATAAACTTAAGGTTGAGCCACTGTAGTCACACCCTTAAGAAGCCTATGGAGGAGTGAGACAGCTCTCAGATTTAATCAAAAATATCTTAATTTGTGTTCCGAAGATGAACGAAAGTCTTACGGGGTTGGAACAACATGAGGGTGAGTAATTACTGACAGAATTTCATTTTTGGGTGAACTAACCCTTTAACCTTAACACAAATTTGTTATTAACTTACCTATGTTCCTTACCTATGTTCCATCTTTTTTCAATGCGTTGACTTAAATATAAACACAAACACTTGTATTGTTAATTAAAATTATACATGCATCACTAGTAACCACACAAGGGAATTTTTCACACTTATAAACATATATATATATATATACACACTGCCGTCGAAGAGTTTGGGATCGGTATTTTTTTAAATGTTTTTAAAAGATGTCTTTTATGCTTGCCAAGGCTGCATTTATAAAAAAAATAAAAAATAAAAAAAACAGTAATAGTATGGAATATTATTACAATTTTTTTTTTTTTAAACTGTTATTTATTAGTTCTGTTTGAATATGATTTTAAATGTAATTTATTCCTGTGATGGCAAAGCTGAATCTTTTAGTGTCACATGATCCTTCAGAAATCATTCTATGCTGATTTGCTGCTCAAGAAATGTTTATTATTATTATTATCAATGTTGAAAACAGTTCTGTGCAATTTGTTCAGGATTCTTTGTTGAATAGAAATAGAACAGAATTTATTTGAAATATGAATCTTTTGTAACATTATAAATGTCTTTACTGTCACTTTTGATCAATGTAATTGCAAGCTTGAAGAATAAAAGTATTAAATTCTTTAATTTCTTTCAAAAAATATATATAAACTGACCCCAAACATTTGAACGGTCTAAAATGTTAAAAAAGCTTTCTATTTCAGATCAATGCTGTTCCTTTGAATTTTCTATTCATCATAGAATCCTGAAAAAACTGTTTTCAACTTTGATTTCTTGAGAAGCAAATCAGCATATTAGAATAATTTCTGGACGATCATAAATATATCAGCATTTTCTTCACTGAGCTTTTAGACCGTTAAAAACATGCACCTCTATTTTTTAATTGCCCTTCTGTTGACCCCCACTTCGTGTGTACAGGCAACCCGATCACACTAAATGCGTCTCAATAGCACGCAGTGTGTTTATCGTGCAATTTATACACGAAAATGAGTTTTTACGTGCATAGGATACGCATGGGTTGGTTAGGGTAGGTTTAGTAGTGGTGTGGGGTGCGTGTGTATTACACGCAAATGAACTGCGTATCAAATGTACGCGAAAACTGCGTATCATATCCACGTAAAAACTCATTTTCGCGTATAAAGTGCACGATAAAACACAATGCGTGCTATAGAGACGCATTTACGTGAGAACAGGCTGGTACAGGAGTGGACTATGATGCAGGTCAGTGTGTTATGCTTGCTCAATGATATGGCCCATATACACTGCTTTGAGTTCAGTAGCTTTGGCGGAGCGATTCCTTTTAGCTGTCAGTCCACGGAGCGTCTAAATAGGCCTGAATACGCCTCTGCAGTCTCTCTTCACAATGTAGAGCCACTGGGTCTCTCCCAGCAGTGAGCGCAGACACCTCTACCACCCAAAAATCAGCACGCCACAGAGACAACCTTCTCAAATCCCATTACCCACCGACACAATTGATTAGAATAATTTTGGATGTGATTGTCTCTGGGTACTCAGCCATAAAGCTGCAGGGCACAACAAGAGAGGGCACATGAAATTGTGGATTCATAAGAAAATCTGCTTTGTGTCGGAAACGCACACAGACGCATACAAACACACACTGCCTCTCTCTCTCTCTCTGCTTCTCTCTCTCTCTCTCTCTCTCTCTCTCTCTCTCTCTCTCTCTCTCTCTCTCTCTCTCTCTCTCTCTCTCTCTCTCTCTCTCTGGATTGAGTGTCTTTCAAAATCATGGCCATAAATCCAGCAGCTTGAAGAATGCTGATGTAGCAGGCTGCCAGCAAACACTCCCATCTCTCCAACTGCAGAACAACCCACTGAAGCACAGATATGATTACCTTTTTAAGGAGGCGGCAGTGGGGAAGCTGCACAACTACTGGAATGTTTTCCCAGCAGTTAATTCCCTTGCACACAATGCAAGCCAAGTCAGGTTTAGGTAATTCTGTTTGCTAATAATTTTATGCTTAAAAAAACTAGCATCTGGCAAAATTTGGTTAACGTCAGATTACAAAGTAACACATGGGAAGAACAGGTATTTCATTTCTAAAATTGACATTGATTGTCATTTTAAGTAGTTTTTAACCAGCTATTTAGGCTGTTTGGAATGGAATACTTACTGCATGCATTGTGCTTTTGTCTAAAAAATATCCTCTATGCCATGTTCTCTTTTGTTTACTACACATTTGGCAATTGTAGTAGGTCATTCAGGTGTTTCATACATGCATATAGAATTTGTGCATTATACATAACTTCTATTCTGCGAGATTACATTGATCAAATGTGACATTTACATAAGATGTCTTTCAAATAAATCTGTGGGATTTTTTTTTTCTTAAAAAATATTCAAAATATAACTGTTGTTTTCAGAAAAAAATGTTAAGCAGCTCAACTGTTCAACATTTTTAATAATCAAAAAGAAACTCAAATGTTTCTTGAGCACCAAATCAGCATATTATAATGATTTCTGGTGGATCATGTGACGCTGAAGACTGGAGTAATGATGCTGAAAATTCTGGAATTAGACTTTAAAATATATTCAAATAGAAAAGTAATTTTAAATTGTAATGTTACTGGGTAACACTGTACTTGAAGGGGTGTGCATAAGACTGACATTACACCTTCATAATCATGACACATGTCATGAATATGAAGGAGGTTTTATGCATGTTTATAACAACTGTCATTAAGTGTCTTTCGCTCAATTATGACATTTGTAATGCAAGTATGACATTGTTTGAGATGTCTTTGTAATGACACCTTGACATAAACCAATACATCATAACCTGTCAGTGTCTTGGTAATGACAACTTGACATTACCAAGACAACATAAATTGTCATAAATATGTCATAAACATGACATAGCAGATGAATTATCAAACTTAAGAAACCACTTAGCTTTATGGGTTAACATTACATTAAACTGTCAGGTGTTTGGTTTTGACATTGGTCATGAGGCCATTATAACTGTGTCATGAATATTTTTCTTGACCTCAACTACAGTGGAACAAATTGAATTTGTCATTAAAATGTTATGATGGCCTCATGACAGCCAATGTCAAAACCAACCACCTGACATTTTTATGTAATGTTAACCGATAAAGCTAAGTGGTTTCTTAAGTTTGATAATTAATCTGCTATGTCATGTTTAACATATTTATGACAGGTTGTGTTGTCTTAGTAATGTCAAGTTGTCATGACAAAGTTACTGACAGGTTATGATGTATTGGTTTATGTCAAGGTGTCATAACAGACATCTCAAACAATGTCATATTTGTATTAAAAATTTCATAATTGACCGAATGGCATTTAATGACAGTTGTCATAATCATGCATAAAACCTCCTTCATATTCATGACATGTCATGTCATGATTATGAAGGTGTCATGTCAGTCTTATGCACACCCCTTCAAGTAAAGTGTTAGCAAGAAGGGTAACTGACCCCAAACTTGAATGGTAGTTTAGTTTTCAGCTTTTTGTGGACTGTGGAGAAGATACATAACCCTTTTTAACTGTTTGAACGAATGTATAATAATTTATTTAGCATTGTGTAACACAATTATGTTAATGTTATTAATAAAAAAAAGAATTATTTGAAAGTGTTACAGAGGAAATCTAGCTTTTTTTACATTTCTGTTTTAACCAGTATACTTGCTGATATTATAAATGTAAATTTTTGTATGCAGCTGACATTTTTCAAGTAAAATGAGGCATCAAAACATTTTAGTAACAGCTTCATCAGCCAATATAGGCAGCTAATATCAGCCTAATCCGCTCATTGTTGACTAATAAATAAATTCAATTCAATTTACATTTATTTGTATAGTGCTTTTCACAATACGCATCGTTTCAAACCAGCTTTACAGAAAATGCATTAGTCCGCATTACAATTTAGAGTGATCATCTGTTATCAGAGGTAACTGTCTAAGACAAGTTGTGCATTTCAGAAATGTACATATACAAAATCACAGTTAGCTAAAAATGTATTTATTTAAACAATGTAATAATTTAAGGCAGAAACAATGAGCTCGTTGAAGTAATGAATACTTGTTTGTTAAAGGAGCTGTATGTAAGAAATGTATTTCAATTAATCATAAAATGGCCCTGAAATGTCAATAGACATTAAGAAATCATGTACATTTCAAATACTTATATCACTGACAACAGTAGTCTGGCCAGGATATTGTCATTTAAAAAGTGCAGTTGCAGCCCTCAACTGATGTTGATGTTGTCATGTTGTGTTTTGGTCTGATGCTCCACCCTCCACCTGTCTACCAATCACGAAGTCAGTAGTGTTGCGACATCCGGGTTGCCAGCTCTGCTCTAGTTACCACAGCTGCAGCTCGTCACGTTCCTGCTGGATCCTGGCAACCTCGAGTCAGGGAGGAGGGGAGGGGATACACCACTCTACAGCAATTTGACAGTGATTGCAGTACTAGTTTTGGCCACAATCTTACATACAGCTCCTTTAACAAATGATTATGACATTTAGAAAAATGTAGCATTGTATTTTGAATAAATTGAATAAATGTAAACATTGACAACCAAATTTTGTGACGCATAGTAATGCACATGTGTCTGTTTCTGTCTCTGCAGCGGCGTCAGGTGCTGAGGACGTGGCTCTGTACGTGGGGATCGTGGTGGTGGCTCTGTGTCTGACTCTTCTGTTGATCATACTGGTGCTGGTGTACCGCAGGAAGAAGGAAGGTCTCGACGCAGATGTGGCCGACTCCTCCATCCTCACCACTGGCTTCCAGCCCATGGGCATCAAGCCCACCAAGCCAGGTGTGTGGGCACCGCGCAGGGCAGCCCGCAGCAGTAGGCTATTGTTTCTCTACACTATCCACTCCTCGCCACGGTGTTTCACGCTCATCCTTTCATCAGTGCCCGTGTTCCCGTGCCACCTGTGGCCGTAGCGGCCCACAGTCTCGCAAATGTGTCCGTGTATGTGCAGTGTTTACGTTAAACCGAGGTAGTCATAGTTTTGTCTTGTGTGTCATCTTCACAGTTGCAAATGATTGTGATTTTGGTTTTACTTGAATCCTCTTTGAAGCTGCATGTGAGAGGAGACCTTCACTCGTCCGCCTGCTACCGTGGGAAGTGATTTGGTAATAGTAGCATTAAGCTGATTTCCATTGATCCTCCCACGAAACAAATCTGCCTACTGCTGTGCACTTTTATTTTTACATATGTAAAGTGTTTAATGTGGAAAAACATGAGAGCGGCTCTGATATCCTGAAATATGGAGTTGGATTTTGGGGATTTGAACCTGAATGAAGCCACACAGTAAGCTTTATTTAAAGTGTAAGAAATTTAAACCGTGGCTGCCAGGCTTTCTTTAAACGCTGTATGGGATTGATTGTGGCTGCTAAAGAGGAGGAGGAGGAGGCATCGATTTATTTACCAGTGAGTCTCTCTCAGCGCGAAGGCCTGGCTACATCCATGGATTTGTGCGTTTGCACTGAATTTCAATTTGTGCTGTGTACTTTTAGCCAGCGTGACCTTTCGAAGGGTTTTTCACTCGTGTCATTCTCTTTGTTTCTACAGAAAACTCTCATTTGCTCACCATCCAGCCTGATTTGACCACCACCACCACTAGCTACCAGGGAACTCTACGTTCTCGACACGAAGTCACCGGGAAGTTCTCCATGAGTAACGGCCCCCTCCTGGAGCCCCTTCCCAACGGCTCCCACACGCTGCACAACGGCAAACTGCCAAGCGACCCCAACGAATTCATGAACCGCCTGTCCTCTCAGACATATTTCAAAACGCTACCGAGAGACAACGTCAACACCTCCTACGGCACTTTCAATTTCCTGGGTGGCCGCCTAACCCTCCCCAACACTGGTAAGATTATACGACTGCAAACTGTGCAAAATGTTTTATGTGTTTAGTCGGGAGTGTTGTGAAAGAACTCCTGAGCTTTGTTAACTGCAATGTTATTATACTGACATGGCCCAAAATGGAAGGGTGAAGTGATCCAATTACACGGTAATCCAAGCAGTTTTATGTAAATTGGGGAACGAGCGAATGCGAACATCTTCTAAAGACGTTTTTCAAGGAACAAGGCAGAGGGGGCAAAGAAGTGCTTCCATTTTTACACTAATGATTGTGTTATGACAATGACGACCGTTTTCTTTTTTCAACGGAAATAGCTGTAATTGGGGGAGCGTCTTTTTTATTTTCCCTTTCTTTTTTTGAATGATTCCTCACTGCATCTTCTGCGAGCCGAACCAGTGGCTTAGTTGTCAGCCGTGGCACTGTAAGCCGATAGGCAGCGTGCACATTCATAGTGCCTGCAACTCTATCCACTCCAAGGACACCACCAGAGTATATTCAAACCAATTAGTCTCCTTAATCACAGACAGAGGGTTCATCAGGCTGTCACATTATGAATCACTCTCGGTCAAAGAGACAACTCACGAGGCAGTGGAAACGAAATAACCAGGGCTCCCTCGGCTAAGAACATTGTCCTTCAAAAAATAATGCCCAAATTTTGATACCTGTAATCCGCATAATTGCATCCCTTGTACCAGAGGTCACCAAACAGTTTCTCTTCTTAACTGAAATAATTATAAGTATAGCAGCAGTGAGCAACTTTTTATAAATAATAAATAAAAAAAAAATTTTATGTGGGGTACACACTATAGTTTAATATTTAGGATCAAGGTTTTGTTCAAATCACTAACCCAAATTATGAGCAATAGTAATATTTTTTAGACGCCATAATAATCTAGTTTGGATGCAGGGGGATTTAGTATATAATATTTTAGTCATTTTCTTTTTTCCTTTTTTTTTTTGTCACAATTTCCAGAGTGGACCATCCATCCATCCATCCATCCATCCAAATTACATTGAAATTCATTATTTGAGATGTTTTACCAGAAGAATACAGATGTTTGACTATTTAGGGTTTATTATTTCTTTCAAAAGTTCTTTTGCTGCCAATGTGAAATGTATGATACCTTTTCTAAAAGCGCACGTTATGCTTTTAATTTCATATACAGAAGTAATTATGTCAGGACAGACTGTAGGCACTTCCTGTTTCTGTTCTGATCTCCAGGACAGAAAGTGACAGAGTTTGTCAAGGTACACCTGGTAGATGACATCTTTGACCTTGAATGTGGACTAGTGTTAACCACATTTTCTTTTGTCACATAAAGGCCCACTGTGAGCTGTGACAAAAGCGGCTTTCAGATTGAACAAATGATCCTACTTTGTCTCTTTTGTTCCTATTTACATTAGGAATCAGCCTGCTCATCCCGCCAGAGGCCATTCCCAGAGGGAAGATTTATGAGATTTATCTCACCATTCAGACGAAGGAAGACATGAGGTAGGTCCCTGGAACCCGTCTGAGGATCTGCCTCACAAAGAAAGAATGCACAGTTTGAATCAGATTTGAAAAAGCCCCTGCACAGAGCGTCAAATATAATTGAAGTTAATCTCCATGTGTGTGTGTGTGTGTGTGTGAGATTGAGCCGTTTGTTCAGATTTATGACTAATGCTAGCTTGAGATATCAAAAGCTTGTGTGTATGTGTTGTGTGCCTTGTCTGTTATATGCAAATAAGCCATGGGCCGCAGCGAGGGAAATGTTCTCCTGTTTTAGATTTTCCTGTCGGAGTGAAGCACCAGGTAACGGTCTGGCTATTTTTTGCTCATGCATTCATGCGGTGTTCAAGACCAGCTCCCTACTGTGCTTGAATGCAGAGTGTGAAAAGTCAGATCAGAGCACCAGAGCCCTGATTAATAGTGGAAGCTCGTCTTGTTAAAGGGTCTGCTCTGTGCTTAACATTGGCCATCCATCCAGACCCCTTTGGTTGAATCCTGACCATGTTCTCCTCTGCCTCCCTCCAGATTGCCCCTGGCTGGGTGTCAGACATTGCTGAGCCCCGTGGTGAGCTGCGGACCGCCCGGTGTGGTGCTCACCCGGCCGGTCATCCTCAGTATGGACCATTGCTCTGATGCGTGCCTGGAGAACTGGGCCATCCGTCTCAAGAAGCAGTCATATGAGGGAACGTGGGAGGTCAGTGTTTGTTTGCATTTATGTTTAGCTTTAGTGGTAAAGATATGCGCTGATAACTGAAAGGATGCAGGTTTGAACCCTGCAGGTTTTCCTTGTGTAGAAATGTCCGGGTCATTTTACACACCCAATTCACAGGAAAAATCTAATTTCCCCTCTCAATTGCTATTTCCATAATGTGAGAAAAATCTCATAATTCGTATGTAACATATTCTTATTAATTAATTTATTAAATGAATTATTATATTAAAATATTAAAAAATCAATACAATGAATCGATCTCTTAATTATTGTGTTTTGATGTATACTTATATAAATATTCGCAAATATATTTATTTTGCATTACATTAATGACTTTTCTATACAGTAGACTATTGAGATTTGTAGTTTGGGAAAGACAATGTACTTGGGAATAAAACAACTTTATGCAAAATATAGTTTCATTTATTTTAATATGCAGGGGGTGCTGAAAATTACATTTGACATTCTTGTGCAGATTCACCCGCTTTCGTAGAATTTTCTCCTGTGAAACCAACCCCACATGGTGACACGATGTAAAAGTTACAGGAACAAATTCCATCAGCTCCAGGAGATAAATAAATACGACAGTGTTGAACTGTATGTAGGAGGAACTCGTGCTTTACGTTCACCTTTCTTGCCCTTTCCTATCTCTTTCTCTCTCATCATCCTGCTACTGAATTGAATATCTTATGGAGGCAAATGGGCTGTATCGTCATAATCATTTCAAATAGCCTCTCAGACAATAAAGCCCTGAAGTGTCTCCATCAGCGTACTCCTCATTTCACCTATCTCTCATACCTTCACATTTAATCTCCATTTAATTGTATGGATCTCTACCTCATTCCATCCCATGGTCATCAGCACCCACCTTTAAACTAAGCCGGGGTGAGTCCTTCATTATGCCTGATGGCTTTTCCAAATCTGCACTGAACCGCGCCGGGTCGTTGGGAGTTACATCAGGCACAGAGACAAGGAAGAGGAGGAACCTAGGAAGGAAGGGCGGAGGAAGAGAGTGAAGGTCTTCTTTCATGTTTGATACTGTGCATAAATTATTCAGGCTCCTTGGTGTGGCAGCAATGGGGCGGCAGTAGAATGAATAGGCCTGTCTTAGACAGAGGGTAGAGCAGCACTTTTAATCATCCCCTGCCCCAAATATAGCCCATCGGCAGCAGGTCGCCATTCTTGGCCAGGTACAGCAGACAAAAGAGGGAAAAAACACAGGGAAGTTTGTCCTGGAAGGAGCCTTGGCAGACAGACTCGCAGCAATTAATTTCTCCAGAGGACACAGATCAGCAAAACGCGAGCAGAAGAGAATGAAATATCGTCTGTGTCGTTATCGAACCGCGGGATGATTTTTTTTTTGAGTCATTTGAAGAAAAAATTTATAATGGGGAAAAAAATTAGACTTCATTGTGGTCAAATAGAAAACGGCTTGTGCCAATACTAATTTCACTGATGAAGATAGTGGTTTATTTTATTGATTGGCTGATGTAATTTCCTGGCCCGGATCCCGAGGTGCATGACAGTAGGGCCGCCTCTCTGTATTTGATTAGATAATGGTGTGAGTGAGAGAAAAAGAGAGAGACGGTGTGTGAGGAATCTTTCTGATGAGCTTCCTGCAGAAGGTTCTGTCGCCACATATCCCACTTGCCTTTTCTCTAATTAAAGCCACTCTGGGGAGCCATTATGTGATTGTATCTGACCGGAGACTGTGAGGAAAACGGAATGTTACCTCCACAATAGTGTTGGCCTTTGCTAGAGTCACGTTTTCAGACTTTTCTCGTGATTTTAATACATTTTCTTTGCATTAGTCTATACAAGGCACACTTGAAGACATCTCTGATGTCAGTCAGGATTCGTACATCCAATTAAAGGAAGTATCTTGCCATGCCATGACGAGCTCCATATTGCACATGGCAACCTGTTAACTAGTTGATTCTCCTGGTTATTAGTAGAGAAGCACCTCAAACTGTCAAAGTCACTAACTGATTAACACAAAACAATGGGGTGCAAAATTACGTAGGATTGGTTTTGGCTTTGGTAAAGTAATTTAACATTTATCTTGAAATAAATTGAACCAGGAATAAATCATGCAGTTTTTGAGGATTGATGTGATAAATGCATACTTTTTTGTTTGTTTGTATTTATTTATTTTAATTGCTCCTTTTGCTGTATTTAACTTTTTTTCCTTCACATGAGAATCTGAGCTGTACATTTTTTCTTCCCCCTGCTTGTAAGGAAAAGAAAGGGAAGCTCTGATCTCTTAGTAGGCACCACCATGTGTGAAGATTCACGATGAACTCCTGCTATTAGTGTCTCATTAGAGCACAGAACACAGTTCATTATGCAGAGCTTTCAGTTTCTTCTCACCCCAAGTCACTTCATTGGATCTACAATCTGACACCGAACATCCTCAGGGCAGGAGTTGGCCATCTCTCCAATAACTTCGCTGACACAGTTGCTCTCTGCCCTCCCCTCTGATTCCTGTCATTTTCTCATTGGCTCCTCAGGATGTACTTCAGCTGGGTGAGGAAGTGGTGTCGGATCCGTACTACTGCCAGCTGGAGGCGGAGACGTGCCGGGTGTTCACTGAGCAGCTGGGCCGCTTTGCTCTGGTCGGGGAGTCCCTCAGCATGGCTGCCGCTAAACGCCTAAAACTGCTGCTGTTTGGTCCCGCCTACTGCTCCACGCTGGAGTACAACATCCGCGTCTACTGCATGGATGACACACAGGACCTACTAAAGGTGAATTCAAAATGTACTTGTAATTGTGCCAATTGTATAGTGTAAGAGGATTTACAGTCAAAGACCCAGAACGAGATATGATGAATGAAGACCCGGAGTCAGAATTATAATACATTGAAGAAAAGTTTTACTGAAGATAGTTTGCAGTTTCATCTGCAGAAGTCAGCTTCAATACTCACAAGGAGTTCGTAGGCCTCCCCGCTTACAGTTACAAAGATCACCGCAATTATACCCTACACCAAGGTCTAAGCTACGTCCTTGCTTCTGGTTGCAGTTTCTGATTGGCTAAGAAATAGATAAACATAGTAATTTTCCACACATATACAGATAGACTGAAGCATATCTCCATCGATTAGGCAGCTGACACTCAGACCCCGAAGTTAGGCACGTCGTGACCTTCCAGGTCGCAAATTTGGGTTGCTGGGCGCCAGCCTGTACAGAACAACAAGTCAGTCAATCTCCAATAATGCAGTTGTTCCTTAACCTGTAACCAAAAAGTCTAACACACACACCGACACACAGCTTCTTCAAGGTTGGATTTGGCCAGGCTCTAACTATAAACAGGAGAGTATTCTCAAAACATCAAAATATGTTCTTTCTCTCAAGGAGAGGGACACTTTAGTCTGTCTGGAAAGTAAGGCTTTAACAAAGTACCACCCTAGAAGAGCAGATGGATGTATTGACACTGTAAAGAAGTCCATAATTCATTTCTGGAAGCTGGGTTTATTTGATACATTTGCTATAATATTTGAAAAAAATATTTGATATATTTACAGATATCAAATACAGACATTAGAGAATACATGAAAAGAACATTTCAGTAATCACACTGGTAACATCTATAACAAAGTAAAATCTCATACGCTTAGAGAAGTCATTCAACTCGTTTGATATTTCGAAGGAAAAATATTGATCATTCATTAATAACTTGATTGTCAACCATATATGTAAATCACTCATCAAATCACTCAAAAGGATATAGATATACTGAAGAGACAAGGATTTTCCCCTTCAATAGTTTACCTAAATTTGTCCTCAAAAAAAGAAAATTAGAGGATGATTCAATGCCAATTTAATGTAAATTCATGGAAAAGAGCTTGACATTTTTTTGTTTTCTGCAAAAGAAATTATTTTTAAACGTTTTTAAGAAAAAGTTTTTGTGAAATTGTATACACATTTTCTTTCTTTCGCCAGAATTTAGTACTGTCCTGAATAAGATATTTTACATAAAATGTTTACATATTAGTCGACAAGACAAAGGGGGGGACTTTTGAAAAGATGTGTAAAAAAGATCAGATTTTTCCATTTTAGTACTGCCCTTCGGAAGTTACAGAAGATACTTGCATGTTTCCCCGAAGACAAATCAAGTACAATGTACCTTGATCTTCAAATTCAAGAGGTTTACACCCTCTGGTTCTAAATGCATCATGTTTCCTTCTGGAGCATCACTGAATGTTTGAACCTTTTGTAAAAGTTGCGTATGAGTCCCCTCAGTTGTCCTCAGAGTGAAAGGATGGATCTCCAAATCATAGTCACTGCCGGAAAGGGTTCAATTATGCAAAAGATGCTGGAAAACCAAAGAATTTGCGGGACCTGGAGGATTTTTCTGAAGAACGTTGGGCAGTTTAACTGCTCATGATCCCTCTTATTTTGTTAAAATAATTAACATTGTGCAGATTCTGCAAGGTGTATGTAAACTTTTGACCATATATATACAGTAGTATAAAAATATACATATTTCTTTTTCTTTCCATCAGCGCATTCAATTGTTTTTCAGTTCCTTCTCACTTTTTTTCTTTCTTTTTTGCTCCCCTCCTAACAGATCAGGAATAATCAAGAGCTAATGCCAAAGCAGCCTCCCTCGAGGAGCACGTCTGAGCAGACTGTTAAGATTTCATTTGCATGCTTAATTAGCAAATGAAAAGGAGAGACACTCTGGCCGTGGCCCCTGAGCTCCGCTCGGCTCTCACTGTCAAAGTAAGAGGGCCCGTTCCCTGCTCTGCCCACTCCAGTCTCTGAGAGCCTGCCAGAAAGAATGACCTGCCTTACCCAAAGCTGCCCGCTGGGCCCCGCTAGGGTGGGCTGACAGGGGAAAGAGATGCCAGGAATTTGCCCAGTTTGTTTAAAATGAGCTCTTAGCCATGCAGAGATGAGAAGTGCTCCAGCCTATGATGGATGTGAGCACCTCCTCTCCAATTCTCTCCGAAGGGTTCATGAGAACGCTGACTGTTCTGTCATTTTAAAGTGAAGTGTTGAAGTGGTGATTTGTTGCCCCTCACCACCCACCCCCCCCCCCAAAAAGCCAATTTTTTTTTGTTTTGTTTTTTTATTTCACAACAGTTGCTGTTGTTTAATGATTGCAGGTGTGGATGTGTGATGTGCTTTTATCCGTAGCCAGGGTGTTGAGCTGCTAATATAGATGCTTTTTCAACCCATGACCTCCTTTCATACTAACCTTGCCTTTGATCAGGTGTGGGCCGCTCCAGGGGAACCTTCATACGTGGACAGACTCAGTCATGCAGTCCTCTCGTGTAGAGCTGCTTTCCATGAATCCACCCCATTTGCATTTTCACTCCCCTCAAATGCACAGACCGTTGTGGTAAGCCACAGTATCCTGGTAGGACAGCGAGTTTTTTTGCAGGGTGGTTTAGCGGAGAGTCGATTGGACTGTATGCTGATCTTTGTCAGTATGAAAAGAGAGATGATTTTTTTTCCTAAGGCCAGATGCAAACTCTGCAAGTATGTGAATGCAAACGCTCCATGCTAAACCTTGATATATCGATTTTTTTATTTAGTAAAAATGCCTGTAGTGTGTACTGTAATTGCAGCACTACTGAACCATTTTTTTTTTTTTAAGTTTCTTTGCTTTGCTAAATGAATTAATGTAGAACCATTTTTCTCGTTTTACTCTGCTTTTAAATGTTTAATTGGCTAGATATTTTTCTTGCATATAGTTCATTTAGTTGAATCAGTTCTTTGGCAAATCACAACAAAATTATTTGTTATAATTATATAATTAAATTAAAATTTATATAATTAAAATTATAAACTCCTCATACAGGAATCGCTTACAACTGAAAGGTTCAAGAAAAAAATCGTGGGTCAAAAAGTTTGGGAACAAAAATGCAGAAAGTATTTCTACGTCAGCAGTTTCATGTCATTTTATTTTAAAATGTTTTAAACGAGCGTAAAATTTATCGTAAAAAGTCTACGGCCAGTTTTCTCTTTCACATCAACTGCTTTTATTACTATTTTTATCCGCCACATTGATGAAAGAATGCATGTAAATCAATGTGTTTGCAATCTTGCAATGCATTGGCCAAGCATTTGTGAACTCGTGTAGAGTATGTTTGTGGTCTAACAGGTGCTTCACCCCCTGAGAACTACATCTGAGTCCATGATTGACTTTCCTTCAAAGATGTGAGGCTGATTTATTGTGATGGAATTATTATGCTAATCGTTGCTGATAACAGAAGAGGATTTCGGAATTAGCATAGTATTAGAAGAGTTGTTCATGACAAAGATGAATGAATGTGTGTGTGTGTGTCTCTTTCTCCACCATCATCTTGGGTGAATATTAATTGCATTTTGATTGCCGCTGGGCTTCTACGTAATGCGCCACTGTTACGTACCCTGCAGTTATTAAGGGGTATAGGGAATAACATTAACTGTCGGAGTTTGACTTCGGACCGATGTCAATGCAAGCGAATGAGACCAAAGCTCTAAAGGCAATCAACATGTGTTTATTTACAATAATATAGTGGGAAAATCCATAAACCAAAACAACTTGCAAAGAACAAAAAGATACCCAGGCAGGGGAAAAGTAGAAGGGAATTGGGCGGCAATCAAATAAAAGAAATTATCAAAACATAACCCTCTAACTCATAAACCAGTACTAAACTAACTAAAAAGAAGAAAAGAAAATCTTCAGTATCTGAAGATACCTTAAAATAATCTATACTCACTAAATCCAAACAAAAATACAGCAAGTGATGCACGGCCCTAACCTACTGTGTCTAACACAATAACTCACTGAGGGATGCTCAATGTATATCACGTGATATCCTTACCTTTCCTCTCCTTCCCTCCCCATTATATTCACAAATCAACCAAACAGACAACACAAAACGGCACCAGCCGTAACAGCCACCAATGAATAAGATACCGCTATTTCCGATGGTTGTCACACTTCCATTGAGCTAAGAAATTGTCGCTCTATACAAAGACTTTTTCATTTCTCTAACACTATTTCTTTCCTGTTCATTCTTTCTTTCTCAGTCATGAGTTTTGCTTGTGCCTAAATCAACAGCAATCTTTAATCTCCCAATTAAACCACATTAAAATAATGTCATTGTCTTTAATCACAAGTATGACATTTGGGAGTCAGTGACATTTCAGCAGAGATGCGTTCAATGTTTGTGAGTCTCATGGGACCAATTAGATAAATATTTAATGTACAACGGTCGGTTACAGAAGTGCCTCCACTGCTGGCTTTACTGTAGCTGGACATGTCAGAGCCTTCCTAAAGCTCTGCTACAGGACCTGTTAGAGACACTTCCTTTAATGTGGTTCGTTATTGACCTCCAACTGTAAACATGACCTTATTATGCCAGGCTGAGCAACAAACCACTACACCACTGCTCTGACCCTTTCATTCTTAATGTGATCTCACCATAGCACTTGACCTTTCAACAAATCACCATTGGCGGTGTATGCAACCACTGCAGAAAGAGCAGAAAGATCCAGATTATAGCATCAACATGTTCCGAAGCAAGTTTGAAGAAACGTTTTGGGTTCACTGGTTTATCTGGCTTGTCACCGGGCAGTGGATTGTAAAATATCCTCTCGTTTCAGAGATGGATGAGCGATGACCTTTGATGCCTCTTTCCAAATGTTGTTCACATTTAATCAAGACCTGTGTGATATTCTCTTCTCCCTCCAGACCTTTCAGACAAGTAGCCAAATGTCTGAGGAGCCACGTCTGGAGTTTTCTATCTGCTGACTGGGCTAGAAACAAATAGAGAGAGAGGGAGAGCGAGCGTTCTCATCTTTGACCTTTCGTCTAACGTCTGGGCATAATTTGCGCATATGTGCTTGCGTTCATGCTACAGGGGAGAAACCAAAAATGGTGCACGGCTTTGATCACTGACGTAACGTTTAACAAGAAAGTTGGCTTCATTACTTGACAATGCGAGAGGAGACGACGAAAGAAAGCCTCTGTGTTACTTACTGTTGCTCTGATTTGTCAAAGTTGTTTCTCGTGCTTGTTTGGAAAGCAGCTCGCACATCGCTCGCATTTTTTGTTTTTAATCAGAGAGAGGAGGCAAGGGAGAAAATGTTTGAGGTGTTGGGTGGGAGAGAGAAAGAGAGAAAAATAACCTCATCACCAGCTGGAGAAAACTCACAGACATATGTCTGGATGATTTACATCTGTGAAATGTTTGCCTCCATCACTCAGATCTCTGTTCTGACTTTTCTGACTTGCTCATCAGCTCAAAAAGTGCAAGGTCTGTTTTCTTTCGGCTGAGAAGTCGTGGAAGACACCAGGCGGAAATTAGTCAATGTCAGTCACTATGTTAAGCTATTATATTTTTATGCTCCGTGAGACGGTTGAGATTAAGTTGTTAAAGAATGAATGAAATCTTCTATTACAACGGATCTATACTGTCATTAATATCAAAGCTTTTATATTTAGTTCACTGATTTAAGATGTTGCGTAACAAACTTGTCTCAGTGGATCTTAATTTATGGCATGCTCATTTTAATTTTATACGGCATGATGGTTATTTCTTGTACCCTATTACTGGCAAGCCGATGGGGACAAAATGGATAGACCACACTCTGCATTCATGTTTAAATCTTTTTATTTTAATAGCTCTGTGATAGATTTACTTGAAGGAATGTATTAGTGTGCAAGGCAAGCATCATTATTACTATTACTCATAACGACCCGTACAAACCTGTAAATGGTAAACTCACATATGTACAGTAACCGCACATTCACCTTTTCAGCCACACAAATCACCATAGCAAAAACTTAGCAACATTCTAGCAAAAACCCAGAACAGTATAGCAACAGCAAATCATCCTAGCAACCATAGAGCAACGTCTTAGCAACTATCCAGAGCACACTAGCAAAAAAAAAAGAAAATACAAATTGAACTTTTGACCACTGTGGTTCAATCTTCTGAGAGTTGCATTAAGTGATTTATCTTAATGGAAGTTTGGGTTACCGTGAACTTTGTAAACACATTGCCCTTTTGCCTGAATTGCTTTTAAATGTTCTGTTTGTGTGTGTTTGGCGGAGGAGCGTTTGTAGCATGTGAGTTGTGGCTGAGGATCTAACCTCCTTCTGTCAAAGACGGCGAGGGGAGATAAACTATATAAGAGTCTCTTGTATTCCCAAATGGAGTGCAGCACTAGTCCGTCAGAGCCCGGCTCAGCACACCACAGGAGCTGTCCAGGCCTGCGAGGATGAAGGGTTTGTGGGCTCGTGAGGACTGTGGCCATGCTTCCCGTAATCCTGTTATCTGTCTCTCTCTAAAGCTTATCACTCTTCTGACCCGAAGACACCAGTGTTAAGCTGCCTCTGTCTCCTCTCCGTTCCTTTTTTTGTATTATATCGCTCCCTCACGCTCTTTTTCACCCTCTCTTGCTCCGGCTCTCGGTTTTCTAGTAAGTAAGAAAAAGTCAGAGGGTGGTCTTCGTCCTACTTTTTTTTTTCATCTAAAGTCACTGTCAAAAAAATAGAGAGTCCTTTTATTCTGAAGTATTTTATATGGCTAAGTCATCGCCATCTTGTCTTCATCCATGAGAACTTCACTTTGTCTCCCCATCGTATACACTTTAAACGTCTCTAACAACTACTATGGTGACCAGTTTCTGCCAAAAAGGAATGTCTTGCACTTATGTATTTGTTTGTTTGTATTTATTTTATTTTATTGAAGGGGAACACGTGGCTTTTCAGGCTATCTTGGTGCCCCAAGCAAGAAAATAAATCCATTTAGTCAATTTAGTATCATCAAAACAATTTCGTAATTATTTTTGTGTCTTTGGCCATTCTGATTATTCATTTGTTTTATTTGTTTAAAAAGAAATACATTATTTATATTTTATTTGAAATCACATATTATGATTAAGTAAAATAAATAAACAGTAATATATTAAAAAAATAATTATATATATTATTATTATTACCTCTTATCTGAATGACTTTTTCTTACCACTTTTTTACTTCAGTACAAATACAGGATCTATGGTGTATTTTTGTTTCTGAGGTACGTTTTTATAAGGGTCTGCTTACCTTCTCTGCGGTCTATGCAGTCAAGTGCTTTTTGCAATGAAGGAAATCATTTTTTGATTGTTTTAATGAAATTCTGTGACAATTTATTAACAAGACAATGGGGTCTAAACAAGGCCAGTATTCCCTCAGCCTGAGACATATGTTGAAAGCAAACACACAAATGGCAAGCTCAGTTCTTGGCTGGGATGCAGCAGCGGCGGGCCAAGACTGACATGTTTCTGCTCATCATTTTGAGCTGGCCTTGTTAATATACGTAGGGTGGACAGGCTGGACTGTGTCTGCATTGGTATGCATGCTCTTAGTTCTTCATAATGGGATAATTGGCAAGCTCTTTGGTGTCTCCCAGTACTAGGCAGCTAGATGTGCTGATAGGTCAGAATCAGGATCAAAGTCTGCAAGTGGCAATTTGCAATGCTAATTTATGCCCATGGAGTGATTGTGTTTTAAGACAGAACATAAAATCAGATACTTGTAGTCTAAATAAAGTGTCTTTTGTCGAGAAGGAGAGATTATATTCCTCTTCAGATTCTAGTGCACTTAGGGCCATTGACCGACCTAATTTTATGAGATAAACATTGACCTCTAACCTTTTCGGTTAAAATTCACCTCTGTGGCTGGGCCGATTAACCATGAAAGATGGTTCGTCTCTATCTTTACTGTGCTTATCGAGAGACTGTAGCTTAACTTTCTGGCTCTAATAATAAAAATGGTTTAAACTACTTTCATTGTCTCCCATGAAACCACTTGTGGTCTGTAAAAAGATAAAATGGTGGTTTGCACTGGGACAGGGGATAAAGCTTGTGTCTAGAATTTGTAGTTTTAGCTTTTTTGTAATCATTTTTTGTAAGATACTTTGTTCTGAACAAATTCTAAGGGAGACATAATGCATTGTGACAAGCTCAACAAGGTGAGTGAAATTTGATAGATAGATAGATAGATAGATAGATAGATAGATAGATAGATAGATAGATAGATAGATAGATAGATAGATAGATAGATAGATAGATAGATAGATAGATAGATAGATAGATAGATAGATAGATAGATAGATAGATAGATAGATAGATAACTTTTGAAACTGTAGTTAAGCAGATAATATGGTACTTGTACAGCAAGTATTGCAAATGAATAATTAACAGGTTCTATACAATTTTAATTGAAACTGGGCCTGCCAATACTTGGTAAAGAGTGCAGAAAATTGAATCGTTCATGTGCAGATAAAAATCACTGAGATTCTCCATCTTAATTAGAAGCGCTCTCAAACACAATTCATGTGCATCCACATTCACACGGGAAAGAATCAAACATATGGTAATTACCTCACCCCCCATCTCTCTCCTTCATTTGTTGTCTGTTCGTTCAAGTACCTTTCTTTTATAGACAGCGCAGCTCGCTTCTCAGGAACACTTCACCTGTTTCGTTTTCCTTTAGTCCTTACATTTGTGCTGTTGTTTTGTTAGCAGGTTTGAGTGTTATGAAAGATCGCTATCCTGATTGGGAAGGTCTGCCAGTCCTCTAACCTCGGCGCCCAATTCATCATATTGTTTGAGCTGTAGTTCCTCTGTGCAAGCAGAGGTCTTTGATGGGAGTCTTTCGGCTTTCAGAGACCTCTGCTCTGCGCACTGCTTTAGCTTGAGAGATGTGCCCTGAAAAAGAATTGATAGATCAGCCAGGATGTGCGCGGATATTATTACCTAATTCCAGATGGCTATTCTGATGGCAACAAATGGCCTTGCCGTACCAACCCCACTGAGACGAAAACATTAGACGTGCGAGTACAAATTGCTCCTGGCACAGCCGCAGAAATGAAATTAAGCGAATCTTTGATGCACGAACAATGAGCGCTTGACGAATAGCTCAGCCCAGACCTTCATTACTGCAGCACCCTTGGATTTGTAGTGCATTTGCCAGAGTTGCCTTGACCTTGGCGTGACATTAAAGGAGCGTAGGGGGGAAGTAACGGGGTTATGAGGGCCGTAGCCTGACCGACTGTGCTGTGCCGTGTTGCTCCACAGGAGGTGATGCAGATGGAAAGACAGCTGGGAGGTCGACTGATTGACGAGCCTCACGTCCTGCTCTTCAAAGACAGCTACCACAACCTCCGCCTCTCGATTCACGACATGCCACAGGCGCACTGGAGGAGCAAACTACTCGCCGGCTATCAGGTGGGTTTCTATACAACGCCTTCTCTCTCTTGCAGCGCCTCTTGAAATACAGGGATGGTTCATTCAAACATGAAAAATCTGTTATCAATTACTCAAAGACTTTGGTAAATCTTCAAAATACAAATAAAGATATTTTTAATGAAACCTGACCTGTCCATTTGAAAGTCCAGGTAGAATCAAAACATAGAACTAAAAAGGTCCCGTTTACACCTGGTATTGGATGAGTTGTGGTCGATCGGATCACAAGTGGGCGACGCTAAATACAGGTGTAAACGGGGTCTAAAAGTTTTGAGCTTGTCCACTTTCGACCACTTCCAGAGGTAGTCGAAAACATTTGACTGGATTGCTTTCATAGCAGCCATAACAGACGCCTACCGTCCGCCTACTGACCTAATGCGTAAACATTATTGGAAGCGCTCTAGCCAGACGGGATTTAAACTTTGGCGGCTAAAGACCCAAATTTGAAGACGAAAAACGTACCAAGCACAATATGTTCTCTCGCCATTCCTGACCTGTAACATACACTCATGCCGTTTGGCGAAAGCTGCTGCTCTATGTTTTTCCTTCGTCTCCAGTCACGTTCATATGTAAATTGCACAAGCTTATTTCATCCATTAGATCAAAAAAGCCCATACATTTACCCGCCCATAGACCCTCCCTCGAAGAAATCAGGACAGAAGGCCGAAAGTGGATAAAAGAGACGGAGTAAAGCACCAGATGTAAACAGGAATGTGTTTCCCTCGTCTACTTGTGATCTTATCGACCAAAACGCATCTTAAGACCAGGTGTACCTGGACTTTTAGTGGAGGGACAGAAACCTTTCAGGTTTCATTCAAAATATTTAAGGACTTATGGGTTTTGAACGACATGAGGGTGAGTAAATGACGACAGAATTTTCATATTTGAGAAAACTCTCCTTTAAATGGTGTTTGATGGGGTGAGTGTATTTATTGCTATCGCTCCTACTTGGGGTTAGTGGTTTTTCAAACCCCATAACCTCAAATATTAATTAAACATGAAATATAAAAGAAAATGCCTTGAACACGATAAATAGGCAAATAAATTGCATACATATTTAAGAATCGATCATTCCTAGTCCTAGCAACCTACATCCATGCAGAACACTTAAGAAACCACGTAGCAACCACCCAAATTGTTCTGGCATTATGACAAGTTTTGCATGAGCAAAGTAGCTGCAAAACTGTGCAGCTTTTTTCCCTCTATTTGTATCTGTTTGCATCTGTAACATGTACTGCAACTGTTATTGTTTGTTTTGTTTTTGTTCTCTGCTGTCAAAGTCTTTTCAAACTTAACTGAGTGAGTTAGAGTTAGCTAACCAAGTTATTTTTCTTGGGGGCAAATTGTAAGGGCTTGTGTGCTCTGTGGCCGCTCTGAGCTTTCTAACAGTGTGTGTGATCTGGTATGTCCTCTGGATTGCTGTAATTGGAAATTTCTTTGGTTTCGCCTCATTAGAGTATTTCTGAACGTGCGGGGATGCTAAAGAAGCCCATTATAGGGTGAATTGGCGAGCAGGGACCTTAGAACGTCTGCTCTTAATAACATGCACGGCCTTGGCTACGAGTTAACGGCTTCCTGGGTAAAGAAGGATTGAGAGCAGTGCAGTTTTCTCATATGTCTTCCTCAACACTCTGCCCATCTCAGGACTCTTTCCCAGTGGAGGAAATTAAATATAGACCAATATGTAAATACTCAAGGCTGCAGCACCTGATTTGTCTTGTGTTTCCCTTCCTGGATCCATGTATGCATGGGCCTCGGAGGAGCGTCTCTGGATTCTGGAGGAATCTTGGCGTAAAAAGCTCCTCCGAGGATTTAAAGATGCCAGCTAACAGTGTTACAGCACAAATGTGCATAGAGGAAACATTTTCTCACCTGAACATCCCCTATTTTTTATATGAGTGTTATGCTCGGCTTGGTTTCCCCACAGACGTTTCAGTCTGTATAACAGCTCCCCCATTAGAATAAACTGAGGTACTGCATATTCTCTGATAACACTGGCTTTTATTGATTTGCTGTTTGATTGGTTCATGATTGATGTGCAGTCTTAAATAGCATGTGCTTATCTTTGTTTTTGTGTCGCTCTGCACAATTAATAAAACAATATGAGACAAGAGCGTATTATAAAGTTAAATATTTAGTTAAATCAGACTGACGCTCTGAACGTGTTTTATTTGACAGGCAATGTATTGTTTTAATACATGTTCTTATTTTACCGGTATTTGACTGTGGATATGCAGTTATATCTGTTCTATCTACTGAATTGTGCTCATTCCTAAATTAAATCCAAATCCTGTTGTGAACAATTCACTTTTAAGGACGTTGTCAGAGACAAAGAAACAATGTTTTCTCCTCTGTTTGAAAATGTCGACTACAATAGATTTAGAAAAGCTTTCATAGACTCGCACCGGCAGCCACTGCATCATAAATCACCAGGTGTTTTTTTTTCTTTTGTCTGTGTCTTTTACTGACCGTCAAATTCAGCTGGATCTATTGTTTGCGAGTGCAGAACTTTTAATGAAACGGAAGCTGCGTATTATCTATCGAGTGACAGAATTGTTCTTGTAAGTTTAATAATGTCAGATGCAAAGGTTGCCAAAATCAGGCAACTTTTGCATACCTCATGTGTTGCGTTAATCTAATGGTATCTTACTACGGCACTATTAGTTTTAATTTCATCATTTGAAGCTCTATAACTGTGGATTTTATATCGTCTGTTTATTTTGGCGGACAAAAAAAAATTATATATATATATATATTGTATATATGTTATATAAATAAAAAAATATATAGTATGTTATATAAATAAATATTTTAGCTATTTATTTTTATATATATATATATATATATATATATATATATATATATATATATATATATATATATATAACAACAAAAATTTGGCGTAAAAAGCCTTTAATATACTGTGCTAAAACATTAAAAGTGTTGGTCAGCAGCGATGCATGTGCATGCAAATTTGAATGGTTTGGCCAGTTTGTTAAAGGCTTTTTATACCTAACCATGTGAGTGCCTTGGAATTGTTTTTGTTTCATCTGATATTTACCTCTCATGTATCCAATGAGCACCAGTGGCTACGTGTTTACACCCCTGTAGAAAACTAGATAGACAGAGAGAGAGAGAGAGAGAGAGAGAGAGAGAGGAGTACACTAAAACACATTTTTAAACATAATTTGAGCTAAATAATCCAAATTGATGATACCATTATGTTTTTTTCAATTATTTTGACAGTTTTGACGATACTGAAAGTAGATTTCAGAACTGATACGTTATTATGAACAATATGCTTTTTTTTCCCTTTAGGAGATCCCATTCTACCACATCTGGAGCGGGTCTCAGCGGACCCTGCACTGCACCTTCACACTGGAGAGACAGAGCCTGAGCACCTGTGGTCTCACCTGCACGCTGTGTGTGTGGCAGGTCGAAGGAGAGGGGCAGAGCTTCACACTGGACTTCAACATCTCAAAGGTAACGATGATATACAATACCAGTACAGACTGTACTATTACCACACTATAAAGCTGCTGTAGGAGATGTATTGTGATTTTGAATGTAGTTTAAAATGAGAAGTGTATTTTTGAATTTAAATTAATTGGCGCTGTATTATGTGCACACCAACAATTTAATCATTCTCCGAAAGCTAGCTCAACTACCATAGTGGCCAAAAGTGAATTCCGGCCTTTTTTATTTTATTTTTGTGCAAAAACATTTTGTCAGATAAATACCTTACCCAAGTTTAATGTTTTGTTATTCCCTCAAATTTTCAAATATATTTATAAAAAATTTTCATAAAGTTTTGATGGTTTATTCAAACTTTTGGCCACTACTGTAGTTTGGATTTAGAATCGAATTGAATAGAAATTAAATCAACTGTTCTGTGGTCGGCACATGCCAAAGATTATTGATTTCTAATAAGAATGTGGAATATAATGTGAACTGAATTGAACTGAGTAACGCTTTATTTTGATTCTCCCCACATATTCTGTTGACTATAAGTAATGTTGCACCTACATGTCAACTAACTCTCAATAGAGTATTAGAAGACTGTCTGCTTAATATCTGATAACACTTTATTTTGATGCTCCCCAACAGACATGCTACTGACTATAAGTAACTTTGCAAGTACATGTCAGCTTATTCTACTTTCCCGAACCCTAACATTCTGCTAATACTCTACTAATACTCTAATGAGAGTTAGTTGACATGTAGGTGCAACCTATCCTTTAGTCAACAGAATGTATAAAGAGGAACATTAAAATAAAGTGTAATCTTGAACTGTAGTCTACACACACATGCATATTTTAACCATTTCTCAAACACCTTTTTAACCCTTTCAGTTCAATAACTGTCTGATTTTATGATAGATCGTCAGATAAAAATCCCTGTACAGTTAGAAAGAGTAACACGTGAGGTTAAACTGTTCTTGACCCCAGGACATCAGACCACTGGACTCTGATTTCCTTTTAATGGACAACTGCACCCCTGCCCTGGCTGGTCCGAGCGCATTCCAGATCCCTTACCTTATCCGACAGAAGATCTGCAGCAGTCTGGACACCCCCTGTCCCAACGGAGCAGACTGGAGACTACTGGCTCAGAGACTGAAGCTTGACAGGTACATGTAGGATCTCTTAGTATCTCTAAGATCGGGAATGGATCCTGTTTAACAAAATCTGAGGATTCTGGTCATTTTGCAGAGTTCTGATATAGCAGATTGTCTCGGTGCGGTTCCTTACTTGCATGTTAAACACAGACTTCCACAGGAAATTGCAAGGCAGTGATTTAATTACTGTCCCATTGAACTTCCTTTAGGTAATGGAACATAATGGGCAGACTTCATTTGTCCAATAATGTTTACTTGCTCCAATTAATTACAATTTGAAGTGTTGTGGTGTGTGTTTAATTAGCACACTAGGCCAAAACGATCAATTTTCATTTACTTAGTTAAGGAAAAGCAAAGAATCCACGCAGGTGTAAACGTTCGTAATGTTGTTGTTTTACTCAAGACCCTGTCCTCAGAAAATGTTTCAGGACTTGAAAGCAGCACTACTAGTGAATACAACCCCTCACCCCCGACTGTAAACCTTTTCTCGCTGAGAACAGAGCGCATACAGAAAACAACACTTAAAGCCCCAGGCATTTGAGGTCCAGAAAAAGGCCGTTAGATCGAACAACCCACTTCAGCTTCCTTCGGGAGATGCATCTCGCAACATCTAATACGCTGCAAAAAGGGGTTGCTTTGTTCTTATTGATTAGCTTTGATCCGAAAGGTTCAGCCTGGTCAATGGAAAAGGTCACATGCAACCTGGGTTTTACCCTTTTAGAGGACTGAGACCCACAGAGGATAATTCATCAAATGAAAATGCAGGGCTGCTTTAGTTCAGGAGTTAACAAAGCATGTGTTCTGATGAACCGAGCATTCGCTCATTGGTTTAGTATATCAGAATGGAGAAGAGGAGGAAAATATTGTTTTATATTCCTCTGTGGAATTACTATGTCCAGCTAATGTGTCTCCCTGGACCAGTGCACATAGACGTCCTACTCTCGCTTGGAGAATGGAGTGACAGTGAGGTTGATGTATTAGTTTACAACGCAAGAGAAGCTTTTTATGTTATTTCAGGGAATAATAACTTATGACTCCCCCTGCAATCCTGATTAGCTTTTTACAATGAAACATAAACAATGAATTTTGAAGCAAATTCATTGCATTTCTAATTTAGTTTCTATTATATCTGGTTATAAAGGAAAAACAGAAGGCTAGCCGAGTGAATCTCACAAAGAAATGTTCAGGTCATATAATTAATTAATGAAGTGTGTGTGTGTGTGTGTGCGTGCGTGCGCGCGCGCGCGTTTCAGGAATTGACTAAATGTTCCCACAATTTTCGTCCCCATGAGGAAAACCCTTCATAAATCATACTAAGTGATGTTTTTTGAAAATGTAAAAGTGTGGCAAGTTTTCTGTGTGAAGGGTAGGTTTAGTGATAGGGTATAGAAAATACAGTTTAGAATTTTACAGTTTAGAATACACAGCCTATTAATAACAATGTTTTTCATTGTGTGCGTTTAATTTGGATATTCAGTTTAGTACAACAAATGCTATCCTGCTTACAGTTGTACTTTACAGTTTAAATAATATTAATATTTATTGATTTATTTTGCTCCATTGGAATGAGAGTTTTTAATGCATGAACTAACATGAATTAACAATGAGCAATACATTGTTATAGTGTTTATTAATCTTTGTTAAAATGAGTTAATAAAAATACACCTGTTCAACATGCCTGAAGTCTATAGAATAATATTACCAGATACATTTGAATGTAATAATGTATTATTAAATGTTGAAATTAACACTAACCAATTAATGGTTTAGAAGAATTTTCATTGTTAGGTCATGTTAACTAATGCAGTTAACTAATGGAACCTTATTGTGAAGTGTTACCTTTTCCCCCAATAACTAATTTTGATGAAGAAAAAAGTTCAACAAATCCTATATTAACTTTTAATGCAAGTTAAAGGTCAGCCAAATGTTTCAATTAAAATGTATAAAGGAAAATTAAATTTTTATATTTTGTAGTGTTTTAAGTGTCTGCTACATGCTTAAATGTAATGCATTGTAAGACTGTATATCAATAATGATTATTTTAATAGTTTTACAATATAATAATCTTAAAGTATATAAAAAATAACATGCACATGGAAGTCGAAAATAAACTGCAACACCTATCGCTCTGTCTATCCACACTGCAGTAAGATTCTGACATTTCCTTTGCCCTGTTTTCCCTCCCCAGGCACATGAGTTTCCTCGCGTCCAAAGCGAGCCCCACCTCAGTGATTCTGGACTTATGGGAGACCCAGCACTTCCACAGCGGAAATCTCAATCAGCTCGCCGCTGTGATGGCTGAGATTGGCAAGCAGGAGGCCATGATATTCCTGGTGTCAGACGGGGAGTGCTGACACATTAAAACTGGAGCAGAGCAGCCGTCTCTGAGTGATGGGGTGGGGGGAAGGACGCGACCCTCTGCCCGCCCCACCAGAGATGAGAAACAAATCAAAGAACAGGGTTTACCCAACTATATGAGGCCACTTCCCCAGTGAATAGGGAATAAAATGAAAAAAAAATCAAATAAAATAAAAACAAGACCAGGCTCTGGAGGAACCTGGCAGGGCTTTTTAGATGTACTGTGACTGAGACAAATGCCCCTTTCTCAGAACAAAAATCCATTTGTTTTGAAAATAATGGTGTATAGAAACTCCCAGATTCTATGATTCTGGTCCTGCCCTCAATCACTGACCAATATGTACTTTCTAACCACATTTGTGTTAGGCAGATTGATATATTAATATCAGACTGGGAACTAAAACGAATCGTTTTGAAAGATATCAAGTGGAAAATATTTTGCAGACTAATTCAGATTTGTGACATGCATTTTGTAAATGTGTACCATTTAGCAATATGCAAGCACACATATCGAAGACAATTTCCTTTGGCCGACTCGTTTCTTACCTCACAAAGCATTTAAAAATTTTGAGCGTTTGCTAAATTTCAGGTCAAAAACATTAACAAAGCGAAACGTTTTTGGTAAGAGCCATCACTTGTTCCTCTGCCCGTGTGCACTTAACATGTCTGTTCGACTTCATGAAGCCATAAAGTCCAAAATTCACCTCAATGAAACGACATATATGTTCCGATCCGGGCGGATAATCCGTAAATAAGCACAGGATGCTGTGGATGTTTAGCTGCTGAAGAAAAGACGTCTGGGATGGGTGATCAGGGACCTCAAACGTTCATAACGGTTTTGAAAAACTTCACGTTTGTTGTAGTTTTCAACAGACTTCTGAGATCAGATCTTCTGCAAAGCATTTTTCATGTCAATGAAAGCCCTTCAAGTCTAGAACGATGGAATCTTTTGAATTTATATTCTTCGTTTATAAAGGAGGAAGAACAAAAGTTCCCCGTTGAAAAGGTTTTCTTCTTTTATAAACAGAAAATGCAATACTACCAAATGTTTCATTGCTAGTCTCCTTCATATTTAATGAGTCTATGTTTCTCTGAAAGCCATTTTGGCTTCAGGGCAAATTCTTATTCGTAGGAGAAAGAATATTTTCATCAACCCCTAAAAAGCAAATGTTCCCAAATGTTCCATCCAAGAACACTCTCTTGCTTTTCTAAATTCCTGTCGAACGGCAACACGTCTCAGCCCCGCGTTTGGCGCCATGAATGTGCATTACACAGTTTGAAGATTGTCCGATTATTATTATTTTTGAATGTGAGTATTTCATTCCAAATGAAGGAGGATTTGTGAGAAACTGTGGATCACAAATTGTCGGCTTTCATCTTGAGCGGTAATGACGGCCACGTCTGAAGAGATGATTGGAGGAGCCCGGCACATTCTCTCCACAGCAAGGCCTGTTTCACTCAGCTAACAGAACTCAAGTTAAATGCCATATTGTGCACATTATGGGTTTTTGTTTCATGTTTTGTGTACCTTATGTTTCCTTAAGGTTTCCCTTGGTGGTTTTTCGTAAATCAATTAACCAGTCAGCTTTTTTTTTTTTTTTATCTATGAAAGTCTTGTAGATAAGTACTTTTCATATGACGCATCTCTGCGCAACCAAAGTGTATGAGCCATCTGGAGCATTTATTTCATATCTATGCCGATTGTGGGGGTTTTTTTTGTTTTGTTTTCGAGTACAAGTAACATTCCTATACTCAACACTCTTATCTATTTTTCTTTCAAGATCTCATGCTAACTTTTCATTTTGAGCATTTCACTGGTAAAACAATTTAAATATTTAATACAGCACTTTGTAAAGTAATTGTAAATGATATTTTAATAACATGCCAAAAAAGACAAGACAACTGACGTAACATTTGTCAAAGTATAACCTGTGAAGTGTTTGCCTACTGTTCATTGGTTATATAGCACTGAGTTCATTCTTTCTGCAGTGTTTGAGGTTTAGACTGTTTTCGCCATAAGTTTGTTCACCGCTGTTTTGTTTCATCCTGAGGCTGTTGGTTTATGGGTAATCGATTCTTAGATTCCTACGAAATCTCAACTCTACGTCATGAGAAAATAAATGTAGGCTACCGGTAAATTATACTTCCGTCAGATTATTTAGACAAGGATTTGGTTTAAAAAAAATGGTCAGATTCCTAACACTCAGGTTTACAAACAGTTCAGTTGAAACGGACATGTTGCGCATTTCTAAGCATTCTTTACAGAGTGCGCAACAAAATGAGTTTCTCATTGATGTCGATACTTGTCACTGACATAAAAACCATTCCAGCAGTCTGTTGTTCTGAGCTCACAAAGCAGAAGTCCGCTACTAACACTGAATAAAGCAGATGCCGTGATATTCACTAAAGGAACCACCGATCTCTTTTCATGACTGTACATTTTGTCAGCCTCATTCATAGCTTTTTCTGTGTAAATGAATGTGTGAGTGTGCTATTTCTTTCCACTGAGTTTCTTTTTTGAACTGAGAAACGTAGAATTGTGTACCTGTGAATGTTCTTCAATTCGATTTCTTAATTCAATGTTCCTTGCCTTTCTGCAAGTCAGAATGCTGTATTTATTACATGCCACAGCGCTTATGCAATTGTACAATTCTTTTCTATTTTTTTTCTTCTTTTTTTTTCTTTTTTGGTAAAGTTACGTTTCATTTTTCTTGTCGATGTAAATTGTCGTCGATGATTTTGTGGTAATAGGAAGCCCTCTTCTGCAGAAGGTTTCCTGTACTTTTTGGACAATGATATGGATTTGTGGGTAGAATTTTGGAAATTCGTTTCTAAGTGCTTTCAAGTATTTACTTGGCCTTATGTATATATCTCTCTATGAAATTTCAGAAAAGGTATGTATAGTAATTGAACCTAAAATGGATGTAAATAAATTATATATTGTTAAAAGTGGAGTCGAGTGATTTATGTTAGGCACCCTCTTCAGTTTAACACTTACAGAAGGAACCTTCAGAATTCAAATACATGCAGAAAACTCAATGTCACTGCCATTCATACGAGTAATTCAGCACATCGCAACATGACTGCAGGTGATTTATTGACTAAGTGTCTCTAGCACAATTTCTTTATAAATGATTTGCACCATCTGACATATAAACCTCTGCACAGAATACAGCAGTTTGAACACACAATAGTTAAAGGCTGCAAAGCTATAAAAAAAAATGCACTTGATAGTTGATGCATAACACATTGTCAATACAATAAAAGTACAAAAATTGAGCTGCTGCCTCAAATATATATAGCTTTCTAAGAGCAGGATATTGGAGGGTGGCATTTCTTCCAATTGGAGCGCAGGAGATCGCGATAAGGGAATGATGTTCTGGGTATAGCATCTCTAAAGAAGCCAATGCAAACCGTTTTTATGGCATCACGGGCCTTTCCTTAATTCGAACTACCTGTCTGATTAGAACAGATGAATGTAGCGTATTTAGTATTGAAGACATGTAGAGACCATTGGTTGGGTCAGGATGGAACTCATGCAATCAGTGCTAATGTATTTCAGCGTAGCTGCCAGGGGCGTTTTATTCCTTTGTGGTTTGCCATTACCTTAAGTACCCTGGCACAGCAAATCAGGCAGAGCAAAAAAGTAGGCTGCACAGCATCTAGAGGATTGAGGGGCCACTTTAAGATCCTGTCTGAGTAGATCACATGCTCAATGCTTTAGCCTACAAAATGGATTGTATGGAGTATGACAAGATTGCTTCAATCGTTGCATGGGAAATGCTTTGTCCTTATTTGTGACAAAAGAGAGGACAGAACTTTGGATGATAAATATATACATCAAAGTGCAGAAGAGATCTCATTTAAAAAAAACAGTCACGTTTTACACCAAAATCAAAAGAAAAATACTTTAACGTTAGTTTTTTTCCAATATTTTCATGATAATCACATTCCCTTTATGTTTAATGGTGATTTTCTTCTTTGCTGTAGTAAAATAAGCATAAAAGGCAGTACAAATACTATCATGATGTATAAATACTTTACTTTTTTTTTTTTATTGCATTACAGTAATTAGAAAGACACATGTAAGAAAAATGTGCTCAAGTGTCATGGAAATGAAGTCATAAAAAAAATGTTAATATTCTTACAAATGGCTTAATTTTCATTATGCATTATAAAAAGGGGTGAAACATGACCTTACAAGTATTGAAATACTGAAACGAACCAAATCTACCTAAAAAAGTGAAAGTAAAGTGAGCCGTATAAGTAAGAACGTTTAATATCTTTGGATTTACGAAGCATCATGAATACTGCAGGTGTACTTTTGGAGGTGGAGGTGGATGAGGAGGGACATCCAAATGCCTTGTTATCCATTCTGACATCTGGCATTGGTGGTTCTAACAGTTCGTTCATAAGCCGGTTTTCCAGTTGAATGACTGGCATCGTAACACAGCAAAACTGAGGCCAGTCTGTCGGCTTACTGTAGCAAGCTCCCGAAAATTCAGATCCGTGCTTTGCTGAATGACACATTCTTAGTGAATGCTGATCGAAGCGGGCTATAACAGCCGGTGAAAGCCTCCGGAGCTACTGTATCCATCACTGTCAGTCAGCCATATGTTACAGGCTTCAAGTAAAGTAGTTGTTCTTGTTTGGCATAGACCCCCCAGTCTCCGCTCCGGCCCCTCCTTGAAGAACAGCAGAGCCTCACAGCGGAGAGAAAGCGTGGCTTTTACACAGTGGCTTGTCCTTCTTTGAATAGAACGTCTTCCCCTCTAGATTGATTTGACAGATCTGAGGAGATGAAAAATGAGGATTAAACAGTGGTAACCAAACTCTTATTCAGTCATGGAGCTAATGCAAAGGGACTAATCAACAGGGCTTATTCGAATGCTGCGATTCATCATTTGCTACTTGCTAGAAGCCAATAATATTAGGGGTGAAATGTTTGAAGTCTAGAGAGCATTTGAGTCAGTAAGATCTTTTTAAATTAATCAACTCTTTCGCCGCTGGCATTTATGAAAAAAAAAAAGTTTACAGACACCGCCAGCATTTTTGATCATTTTCATAAAAGTTTCATGGCCCCCCAGAATATTTTGTTGTATGAATATCTGAACATGCAATATGTCAAAAGAAAGGACAGAGCCTCTGCTTTTAAACAAGCAAAACATAAACAAAAAAACTTTTATTTTAGCTTCATGCATTGTTTTTTCCCAGCTTTTTTTTTTAAAGACTACATCTGGATCGGATTCAGAACGATGATCAAAAAACCAAAGGGAGTAGTCCATCAACACCAATAAACTGTGAAAGGTTACGTTTTCTAATACATTTATTTAATGCACGGATTGCCTCTGAACCCTGGCTAACAGATGGCAGCACTGTCAAAGACCCACATGCGAGCCGCTGTTGAAACGGTGTCACTCGCCAGTTGCCTGGTAACTTTATGAATTTTGACAATCCATGGTTATGATATATGGCTTAGTGCAATCATGAAATCGCAATGGTTGTGATGTAATAATATAAATATACAGTCTGACGCGCTGCATGTTTCAGAGTAAAGCACAGCACTGGGTTCATTTTCAGTTTCGATTCACAGTAAATGCTACTCTGCAAATTATAAGCGACTCAAACACACAGCACTTGCATTTGGGAACGCAACGTGCGCCAACCATCTTCCCAAATTCGTAAAGAGAATCATTATAAATCTGTTGTTGTCAACAACGAGAACCGTTACGGTCTCTCTGCGGTTTACCGCCAAAAATAAAAGCTCAATGGTTTAATGTTGGAAAGCAAATTAAGACGACCAAATGTTATTATTGTAATTTTACCATTGTTCTGTAAAATAAAATAAAATAAATTTAATTATAAAAATAAAAAGTAAATATTATTATTGATATTAATCAGAGATGGGGACTCGAGTTTGAGACTCGGAATCGAGTGCGACTTAAGTCGCACACACAGTGACTTCAGACTCGACTTGAGACTCGTCCTCGAAAGACTTCAGACTCGACTCGGACTCGAGCTGCGGGACTCGTGAACAATGTTTATTTTTAGGAAACGTCTGATGAGCTCTGTTATTCCCCTCCCTCCGACACGTTACCTAAAACCTGCCTACATAACACGTACTACATGCGCGTGGCCACACATGAGAGGACAACAAACAAACATGTCGACTGCACCGGCCGCTGCTGTGCCATTCATCGTAAGCTTTGGGTTTAAAAACTTCAAACAAGACGGGCCAAATAAAAGAAGCGCTCAATGCAAAATATGCGGTATCTGCGCGCGTGCACCTCATGGTGTTCCATGAGGGAGAGAGAGCGCGAGAGGTATGGGTGAACGAGAGAGAGAGAGAGAGAGACGTGCGAGAGGTAGTGCGGCGCGAATGCGCTATGGCGCTCTGCATTGCAATCAAATACGATTTTAAATAGGCTTAGCAAAAATAAAATAAATTAAAGCTGCAAGCAGCATTTTAGCGGTGTTCAAGCAGTTAAGGCCTTTCAGGCCGTTAAGCACAAAAGCATCAAAATACATTAAGTTTTATGTAGCAAGCATGATTTACCATGATATACTACATTTCAGTGTGATTTTTCATGATTTACCATGTTCCAGTATAATTTACCATGAATCTAACATGATTTTTCCATAGTTTACCTTGATATACCATGTTATAGGATGATTTACCATGATATAGCACATTCTAGAATAATTTACCAGGATTCTAACATGATTTACCTTTTTTACTATGATTTACCATGTTTCTGGCGTTATTTACCATGATTTACCATGTTGATAGCAATTATGTGAAGCATAAGAACAATTGAAGTGATAAACGCTGACAAAATAAGAATGTGTTATAATAGTAATTGTTATATAAGTGATTTTATAGTGTCTATATACAAAAAAAGACTATTAATAAGAAGAGTGGCCAGCAGAGGGCAGTAGAAGACCACTTATTGGCTCACTTTCATTTTAAACTACTTTGTTTCTCCAGTATTCTCAACTGAAGCAAACCATTTTTTTCATGTTAACTCCATAATGCCTGCTTACACACACACACACACACACACACACACACACACATTTTTGGGATATGTTATTGTGAAAATCATATAAAAAAAGATTAAAAATATCTAATGCTGCTGCTTCATCTAGTGGACAACAGTGCTATTACAGCCTACTTATACAATAGGCCATGTTTTCATATAATTTAATCTACACACGCTCATTCTGATGTAGATACATTTGGAACTTCAGGAGCCAATGTGACTCAATTGTCACTTCAATAGACGATTTTTGACTAAATGTTATTGTAAATGTTAAAATAGTGAATTTATAAAGTCTAAATATTAATTATAGTTGAGTAGTGTGACAAAATGACTTTTTTTAAACAGCAGGGGGCAGTAAAATACCACTTATTGGCTGTTAGCCTTTTTTCAAGCAGTTATAGCTGTTCTTGACCTTTTTTTAAGAAGCTATGAGCATTTATTGAAAAGATATTGCCTTTCGGTCAAGGTTACATATTGAATTGACCCTATTATAGTCATACAAATGAAGAAGTTATACATTTTTCTATAATTATTGTTCTAGAGAGTACAGAGCAATAGATGAATTTTGACAAAATGTGATTGTAAATGTTAAAATAATGATTTAATAAAGTCTAAATATCAATTATATATAAAAATATTAGAGAGTAGTATGATGAAATGACAGCAGGGGGCAGTAAAATACCACTTATTGGCTGTTATAGCCATCCAAGCTGTTATAGCTGTTATAGCCATCCGATTTACACTCTATTATAGCCATCCAAATGAAGTAATTATACCTTTTCTGATAATTATTGATCTAGAGAGTCCAGATAATTGTACTGCACTGGTTTTAAACATTAAGATATGAAAATTATACGATCATAGATGGAAAAGACCATTTACAGCCAATACAGGCAATTTACCATAGGAAATACATGGTTTTAAAGCTTTTCAACAGTTATAGCGCCACCTATTGTCCGATCTCCATGAAACTTTGCATGCTTCTTCACCATGGTATGACACATATGCTCATCAATTTTTGTGAAGTTCTGAGTTTTTATTTATGATTTATAGGCTTTTGAGTGTGTTTTGACACACCCCTTTTATAAATGACCCTGTTATAGCGAAGCAAAGGGCAAAGTTCAACTTTTTTTCGATAATTATTGATCTAGAGTGTCCAGAGAATTGTCCTAGACTGGTCTGGTACCAATCGGGCGAAAAACCAGGGACTAGTTCGCAAAAGTAGGTTTTTAACATATTCGTGAATATTTAATGAACGGTTTGATTGACAGCAATGGTTCTAGAGGCAAAGTTGTTCAACATGAGGAGATCTATCAAATGATATGCATATTGTGGGGATGTGTGCAACACCACGTGATTACAGAGCCGTAAAACTCGTTAGCGCCAACTAGTGGCCGATTTCTTTCAAAACTCTTACAGACCTCTTGGGCCATGAGTCGAACATGCCCATAGAGTTTCGTTCCGATTGGCCTCCGTTAACCTCGTCTCACAGGTGCTCAAACTTCATTGGCCGATGGCGGCCATGTTTTTTGAGATACGCCAATATCCTTTTACACATACATGGCACCTTGGACCAAGACACTGCATACCAATTTTCAAGTCAATCTGACAAACGGTCAGGTGGCCACACCCCCTTTTATGTTTTTTTAATGTTATAGCGCCACCTAGTGTTAGATCGACGCGGTTTTTTTACTGTGACCCCAAACTGTCCTCATACACAAGTGTGTCAAGTTTGGTGAAGATATCTCATTTACTTCTTGAGTTATAGACGTTTTAGTAAAATAGGCTCCTCCCACAACGTTCATTTTGCGCCCCCTAGCAACCGGAAATCGAAATTTCAACTTTTTTTTGATAATTATTGATATTCAGACTCCAGAGAACATTTCTGCACTGGTTTGGTTCCGATCGGGCGAAAAACCAGGGACTAGTTCGCAAAAGTAGGTTTTGGACAAAACCGGAAATAGCGGAAAAATTTGCATACCGGAAATGAAATCGGAGATATACGTTTTTTAAGTCAAGAGTCCAGCTTTCCAATGATATACGACACTTGAGTCTACGACATAGGGTCTAGGAGTTATGATCACTTTCGCGTTTTTGTTGCTATAGCGCCACCTATGGGCCAATCGGGCTCATACTCTCTCAACCTCTCCTCGATTTCTGTGCTACCTTAATCCCAAATATCAAGTCTCTAGCTCTTACGGTTTGGTCTGCACGATGCGTTTTAGGGCGGAATAATAATAATAATAAAAATCCTTACAATTACAATAGGTTTTCAGCACTTCGTGCTTGAACACCTAAAAATCGAAAATCAATGTGTGGCGGTCAGCCAGTGTTGATATTGTGGCGGGCCGCCACAAATATATGAACGTATGAGGAACCATGTATTTCACATCATTTGGTTCCAATAGTGTTTTGCATTTAGCTACACTGTGATGTTTTGCACTATGTCAATTTTAGTGCTGTGAGGTAGGCTATAACATTTTCTATATTTGGTCTTATGCCTCCAGCTCCACAGAGCCAGCACAATAGGAGCCAAGGCCTTTAATTATAATTCAGCAACAGACATGAGAGTCCTTTTTCTTCAGAACCTCAATTTTTACAGATGCAGATATTAACTTAAAAGTAAAGCATTATTGGTGTTTTTGTCATGTTGAAATAGCCTGTTTACACTGATTATATACCTAAATCAAAGCTGATACTGTATGCTAATAGATAAACGAGTCATAATAACATACATGCTTTGAATTCCTTATATATAGCTATGAAGTGTTCTAAGCAGCCTGGATGAGTCGCTGTACGTGATGCAACACTTATTATAACCACAAGAGACTTGAGACTTGACTTGGACTCTAGTTCAGAGACTTGAGACTTGACTTGGACTCTAGTTCAGAGACTTGAGACTTGACTTGGACTCTAGCTCAGAGACTTGAGACTTGACTTGGACTCTAGTTCAGAGACTCGTGAGCATCTCTGATATTAATAATAATAATAATAACAACAAAAACAACAATAATAGCAATTCTATTAATACTTTTTTTATAACACATTGTATTATAAGACAATATATTATTATTATGATTGTTAAATATTAGATTTTTTCATTTTACAGTACAATAGAATGTATTTATGCAATTGTAAGATATGTATTTATTAATTTAATAAAATAATACAAATAATAAAGTGCAGGTAAGGTTTTCCTTCTTTTTTGTCTTTACCAGATAACATGCCAACAATTTTTTGCTATTTATTGTGTTCTTGTGGGGACCAATGAGGGACACAAATAAAAATTAATGAACAGATTAAATTCCTAAAAAGCTAAATAAATAGCAAGAGCATCTCCAGTACTTCCATAAGAGAATATAAAGTTCATGTCTTTGTTTATCTGGAATATTTTTAAAAGCTGTGAAGCACTTAAACTTCATGCAAACAGCCACTGTATGAATTGTCTGGGTTCACAGTGGCTATTTCTTGATAGTGTTGCGTGGTGCAGAAAGTTTAAGATGGAGTTTCGGGACAGGTCCCAATGCATCAAAATGACTTACGGCACAGACAAAGCAAGTGTCATGCCAGCTGTAGCCCAGCGCCTCAAGGAAACGGTCCCCTGCATCAATCTTGAAGTCACAGCCATGGCATTTGGTACCAAACATCTTTTCATAGTCTGCAGAGAAAAACAAACCAACCAAAAAGGGCCTATTAAGTCAGCGAGGAGGAAATGCTTGGTCAGAAACAGAGAGAACAAGACAAGAAAGAAAGAAATGTCTTGTCGAAAGGAAAAAGAAAAGGGATTACATTTTCTCAGGCCTCACATGCTCAGTGTGTGATAACAGACACTGGTCCAGATTCCTATTTGGATTGCCCCAGTTTTACCCATTACGGAAAACTTAAAAGTTGCAGGCTTTACGTCTCGTACGCAAGGTAAGTGGTTTAAAGCACAATCCTTTTAAGGTGCTGAGACTGCAGCTATTTTATCAACACTAGCTCTTTATTTCTGACAGAAGCAGCTGCCCACTTGCTGCTGACACAAGACCGAAACTCTTCAAAGCTGTAAAGCACCGGAACTGCAATGCAAGCCTATTTACATAATAAAGACACGCACTCCCTTCAGATCGCTTAATGTCTGTTTATGTAAGATTAGGGGCCCAACAAATGTGACAATGTGATTAACCGCACTACATAAATAGAAATTAGACATGGAAGGTGGCTGAATTTAGCAACTTTCCACCACTCAGGAAACAAAATGAATGAACAAGCACAGCTTAGCATGACAAATTTCACTACTGAATTCAAAACTATTTAAACCGTGGTTCTCATGTGGGACTGTAAGTTCGAATCTGATCCGCAACATTCCCGAGCCCCTTCACCCATGGGTGCACTTGAACAGGTGCACCTGTTACCTATGCTACTTCTCATGGTTCCGATCAATAAAAGTGTCAAAAGGTCCAAAATAAAAGAACGAACAATCCCTAAACACTTAGAGCTATGGCAAACATGTTTGAAATATATGTTTGATTCTAATGTCTCCTGCTCCTTCCAATAATGTCCTGCTTTAACTCTCACTAGTCATATAAATTAGGGACGTCCCACTCAAGTTTTTTATGTGCCCCTGATCCAATCCGAGTCATTTAATAGAGTCTATAGCGATACCTAGTCCTTATCCAATACTTGTATTTTCCCAGCTGATGTAAAATAAAGGATCGGGCTCAGGATAGCTGATTCAACCAGTTAAAAATGCCTAATTGGCCCCGTTACTGATCCTTGAGATCGATTGGGACATCTCTAATATAAATAAGTGTCAAAAAACATTTTTTTTTAGAACTGAATCTAAAGGCATAGGGATATGTCGGCTATTATTGCGTATATTTCACGACGGAACTTACCGAACATCCAAAACAATGCTGTGTGCTGGGATAAACGCTTGTTGTATGTGTGTAATATGGAGCTGACAACTTATTGAAGAGCTTATTAAATGTGTATAGGAGTCAAAACAGCAGCAGGAATCCCTCCGTCACACACACAAACAATCTGCTGCGAGGAGACGCGGTTCTGATGCCTCTACTGAACTGTGATGGGCAACATCACGACTATGATGAGAAAAAAACAGGCATGCGTTGAGCAGTCTGTCCTTTTTAAGGTCTTGTGACATGGTCCGTGATACATTTATATTTCATTCGAACCGCACTAGAGTTCGTTTGGAAGCGGACCAGGACGCATCTTTTCAGCGGTCGTTTGGACACGTATTCAAATGAACCACACTAACAGTGCATTTGCATCGAAGTTCGTTTTAATCGAACCAAACATGCCAAGTGTGAACACACCCTCAGTCATAATTCCCTCTAGTCAAAACAAAAATAAATTAAACAAAACAAAAATTCCTGATGCCTTGTTGCATCATAAACGTAACCATCAAAAAAAGTGAATAAAAAGTGGCTACTACAGCACATGCTGACACTTTCAGCTGGTTGCTCATGTGGTCAGCATGAGTTTGAATCTGTCTTGTGATTCAAATAAACGAAAAAGCTTTAAAAAAAAAAACCCTGAACTAACAGTATTAATGGTTTCATTGAGCAGCAAAGCACTTTCTACTAATTGCATATTTAAAGTAGATTCTCAAGCATAAAAGTTCTCAGCAAAGCTCCTAATCAATGTTCAGGGCCGGTATGGAGCAGATTTGAAGTCTGAAGTGAAGTGGCAGCATTTGAATGATTAAACACCGCAGGAGCCCGCGCTCGGCTCTCGGCAGGGGCTGTCGATAAGATGTGCGGCCGGGCGTGCGAGTCGCTCACCTCTCTCGCAGTAGGGCTCTCCCTCCTCCATGTAGAAGGCCTGGTTCCTGATGGGCATTTTGCAGGCGGCGCACAGGAAGCACTGTACGTGGTAGGTCATCTTCAGGGCGTGCATGATTTCCTGTGGAGAGGACAGAGGGGTGTGAGGGAGCTGCGCACGTCATCTATGAATTCACACTTCCAAAATCATTCCACTTTCACTTTAAACTCTCGCACACTTTACCCCACTGGCACTGCTCTTCATCATCAGCTTCATGCTATGCAATCAGAATAGCTTTTGTTTGTTTTTGAGGTCATACTGACATTATCATAGTATTATATTGTCATATTATAACATTAACTTACATCGTTTTTTTTTCTACAATTTACAACCGTCTTTTTATTTTAATATGTGACCCTGGATCACAAAACCAGTCACAAGTAGCACGGATACATCTGTGGCAATAGCCAACAATACATTGTATGGGTCTAAATTATCGCCAAAAATCATTAGGATATTAAGTAAAGAGTATGGTATTATTTTGTTTTACCAGCATCCTTAAAGTGTAAATTGCAGGTAAAAATGTTCACGAAGATAATGCAATGTGCTTACTAAACATAAAGATAAGAACCGCCCACCATTGTTTTTTTATGTTTTTTATACCAAAATGCTGAATAAAATATGAAAAGTTGGTGCGTTTTACAGTGCTTTTAAGCACGCCCCCTCCCTTCCACTAGGCTGGGCGTGACGTCATAACAGGTACTCCAAGCTACTCTGTCTATGCTCCAGGCCTGGAGTTACGTTATATTGGAGACCTAGCTTGCAAAAATGGTTAACTATTGTGTTTGTGCGGGATGTACGAATACATCAAAAACTGGGGAGAGGCTCCACAAGTTCCCCAAGGACAAACGGCTGATTCATGCCTGTAAGTGTTAGCATAACTTACCCGAGGTAGAGCTTAGATCGGGCCCAAAAAAATCAAGCAAGACCCTACCCGAGCCCGCTGTGTCCGAGCCCGGTCCGGCCCTGCCCGACACATTAACTGTAATTATGAGCCCGGTTTAAACCCGACTATTTTTTAATACGTGGGTCGTTATAACTGACGTTCTCAACTACTTTCTATATTACTTTCTCCCGCCCGCTACATTTATGTTTTGTCCCGCTCCCACCCGCAAAAAGACTTTTTTTCTGTACCTCCAAATACTTACAAGTTAGCCTACGTGTCGCCACCATACACATCAGCATACATGCTCCTGATCACTGTTATGACAAGCAAGCAAGCGGGCTACTGCGTGCATGGTCTGGCATGACTGCACGCAAAGTGCGCTCCCATAATAATTCCTAAAAAGCTGACATCAGTTCATCGCGATCTCACACATCTGTTATTATCAATGAATCTTTCATAATATATACACTATGTTTGTTATAATTAGAGGATTTGCCAGCATACAGAATTCAGCACTGAACAAAAAGTCCGTTTTGAGCGGTGAGGGGAGTCCATCGTAAATGCTTCTGATTGGCCATTATTGCGTTCAAGAAATCAACATGTCTGTGATTGGCTACATCGCTCAACGCTGCAGACATGTTAGAAATAGAAACTCTGCCTGTAAACCGTTTCTATTTTGTTTTAGTTGTTCTGATTGCTTTTCTGCAACAGATGAATAAAAATGGATTCGTTTTTAGGTTTTATTCATAGATATTTCTAGTTAGCGGGAGTCCCGCGAATCGTTTTATTCTCCCTCAACCGGCACACACAGAGTGAGTGCATTACCGCCCGCGCTCCCTGTTATGACATCATCACCCAGTTACGGTAAAAAACATGCTACCTTTGAAGAAACCCCAATAAATGTTATTTTAACGCATTTTAAGACAGAAATTTTTACATATATACACATTGATGTAGGTAAACCACTTTAATTTACACATTAATTGGTTGTGGTGGTTAACCTGCAATTTACACTAACGATTTAACAAACTATCCCACCACTCAGTTTGAATGGATCAGTGTATATTCCTGTGAAACTCTACTCAAAGGAACTGGATTGTGTGTTTGTGTTGCAGAACGGTAGGAAATGCGCCTCACCCCAGTTATTTTCTTCTTGCATTTGGCACAGTTGGGTGAGTAACGGTTGTCATAACACTTGGTGCAGTAAATGGATCCTTTTTCCTCAAAGAAGCCCCCCTCGTCCAACACCTTTTTACACTGACAGCACATGAACTCCTCAGGGTGCCAGGAACGACCGAGCGCCACCACGTAGCGTCCCCTAGAACACAGGCACACGAACACGTAGTCTTACAACTAAAGCCTTTTGCATTGAAGTGAAAGGGTCAGCTCAAGCATCAGCAGCTGGGTTTAGCACTCTTAAGTGTTCAGTGTGCAAAAGCCATTCTAATGGAAATAGTAGGTCAGACGCAAAAACCCACTGCATTCCGTATTGATTCTCCACAGCAGAAAGCCCAAGGACATGCCGCTATTTCTGTGCTCAGCATATTTGAAGAAATATTCCTGCCTTACAAAGTTTGACAACCTTTTATCCCTCCCCATGTCTTGAAGTAATGACATTTAGCACATAGTCATCATTGATTTGGAGGTATTCCGGGCTGCCTGCAGCAGTTAGCTTTGGGATTTTAACTGCTATATTTTGGGCAGTCCTGAAGTATGACTCCAGCCGTACCTGATGATCTTGTTACAGGCCGCGCAGAGCGGCGTACAGCCACTAGTGTCGGCAGGGCTCTGCTGTGCTGCCTGAAGGATGGAGCTGCGGTTCTGCATGGGAGTGGGTTGGACCGGCTGCTTGTGCTGGGTCACCACCGTGCTGGTCTTGTCTGGGTGGTAGCGGTCTGCAAAACCGGGGTCTGTCACCCATGGTGGCCTGCAGGACGGGCCGGAACTCATTGGCGCTTTAGCTGGTGCTAAACAAAAAAGACAATGAAACATTTATTGGACCTCACTATGGTCCAACAGAGACCTGTTAGCAGTGTGTACATTTATGAGCTGCTATTAAAACGAGTGCAATTGTAGTCTAAAAAATGCTTGCTTTTATCCAGAGATAGCATTATCATTGAGATGCTACTAACACCATGAGAGGAGAGCAATAGGAACGGCTCATGGTTTAATTCAGCTTATATAAACCGCATCTCAGGAGAGTGATAATTGAGTCATATTATCATCTTTGACTATAAACACATCAGTGCCCCTTATGTCTCACTTTTCCCATTAACATCAGGCCTGTCTGAGCCAGCCGGACCACTCCGTGAAGAAGTCAGCGAGTTAAGTCCTCCCCGTGGGAGCGACTCCGGGCTGTGAGTCAGTGTGTACTGTGAGAGTCAATCTATTCTGTCAGTTCTGAGAGTACTTACCTTGAACTTCATCAGGTTTGTCTGCTGGCTTGGACTTGGCAGGACAGGGAGTTACTCCGTGACTGTAGAAAGAAAATTTCCCTTCAGAACACAGGCCATGATAAAACGGCGTTAGCCAGAGCCAATGAAAATGTCATTAAGCTATGCGACCTCTGACATCTACATCCTGGATGGAAAATACACTCCTGAACAAAGTGTGGAGATTAAAACATCATGACATGGCATTTTATGTAAATTAAAGTACAGGATGGGTGTTTTCTGCTTTGATTGTGAATAGAAAAATCAAACATTGCATCTTTATTTTTTATTTATTAATTTTATTTAGCCTTTTCTTCAACAGTTACAACATATTTAGACAAGATATTTCTTAGATAACCTAAGGTATAACTAGTTTTTTAAAAGATTATATAATATTTATATGTGTGTGTGTGTGTGTGTGTGTGTGTGTGTGTGTGTGTGTGTGTGTGTGTGTGTGTGTGTGTGTGTGTGTGTGTGTGTGTATATATATATATATATATAAAAATTGAGGCTCCCTTGAAAGTTAGCAGGGGCCCCGGTCCCCTGGTTGAGATTAAAACTTATTTAGACTGTGTGGTTTTAGCTTACAGGTTACTCTAAAAATGTCAGTTGTAGCATTTATGAGCTTTTCACCATACATCATTTGAATGAAATGAATAAACATATCCAGGTCCTGTACTTCATCATAGCTACATGATCACACAAGAATAACACAGACATGTGCTTTCCAGATGTGTGTATATAGTTTTATGTTTGCGATTATGAAAGTATGTCATTCCTCATGTCTGGTGCTTTATCAAATGAATTAATGTCGTGAAGTTCCCTCAGCGTAAATCTATACAGAGTCAGGCAAACAAGTCTGTTTTATGTTTTATTGCCAAACATGGTTTTAAAATGATACCAGTTGGGCAAAGCGAGATAACGAATGATTAAATCTAGCAGAAAATTCTGAGAGAATTAGAATCGATGCATACGGATTCTTGATGACTTATTTACACAAAACACATTTCAGTTCTGTCCCAAACCCCAGTGAGCTGCCCACCTAGGCAATATTTTGAGGCACTATAGGCACAAGCACAACAGGAAGTCTGTTCCAAACAGTAAGTAGCAAAATTACACTGACTAGTTTCTACTCTTGTTTTGGCCAAAGTCTAAACTAGAATCGCCAATCCCAGAGTGCACTGCACTGAATTTTACCCATAAGGCTACAGAATTTGATCAAGATAAAACCATTATATCTATTTAAATGCAGTATTTTATGTAATGCCCAAGTCAAGTCACCTTTATTTATACAGAACTTTATACAATACAGATTGTTTCAAAGCAGCTTTACAGTGATAACAGGAAAATTATGCATTTCAGCTGTTGTTCAACTGAAGTCAGTTCCGTGCTGTAAAGATCATCAATTATTAAATTAGTTCATTTCATCTATAAAGCAGTTCTGCAAAAAATTATGTCATCGTCCAGTTCAGTTCAGATCTCACACAACAGAACCAGTACAGTCAGACCAATAATATAACAAAGTCAGATCAAAGACTTTATATGGCGGAATGAATGAGTGCATTTTAGAGACATGCTAAAAAAAAATAAAAAAAAATCACGAGTGGGGTAATATTGATGTATTTTATGTCGTAGAATAAAACGTGAAAGTGTCTTGAGCTTGTGTTCACCACAGACCTTATTTCAGCCATTTAACCAAAACCCCATTCAAAAGACCCATTGACTTCGGGACGATGGAAGCGGAAGTGCTAAAGTGCTAACTCGCTTCCGCGTTTTGGCCTACAAAGTGATGTCATATCTGCACCTTATGTAGCCCCGCCCCTTTTCAGCACTGTGCTTGTTGTCATTTGGTCTGTATTTTCCCAGCGATCGTGTATTTATGAATGAACGGCTCGTTTTAAAATCTTCCCGGTCTACTGGCATTTGTTAAGACATCTGCTCAAAGATGGCTGTGCGCTTGTTTCTCTGGCGCATAAGTTCTATTGCGCGTTTAACTTTCTCCAATTCATAGTAATATAAGTCCAGCCTTCTAAATAAAAGAGCCAATCGGCAATTGGTGAAGTCATCGCATCACTGGAGCTGCCATTAGAAGCTCCGGTTGCTATAGAAAGAGCCAGAGTTCTGAGAGGCGCACTTATGACTGCACATGCGCATTGGCTAGTCCAGCCTAAAAAAATGCAGATTTCAAATATGAAATGTAATCGTAGGCTTGGTGAACAGGTTTGGAGAATTTGACCATTCAAAGAGATAGGAGCTATACTTGCATGACTGAGAAAGCTGCCCTAGAGACGTTTCAAAGATGGCCGCCGAGAGAAATGACTTGCCTTAAAGGTGCAGTAAGAAATTTCTGAGAAACCGCCCCCAAATTCACAAACACACGATGCAACACAGGCACCTTCCCCATCATTAGTGTATATGCCCCTTACTGCTGGCAACAAGTGTGTTTTGGTGCTCTGTCCGATCCATTTTTCAACAGTGTTTCTCAGATTTTCTTTAGTAATACTTGTGCTAAGCAATGCTTAGAATATAGAGTTGTTAGCTTAGCTAGCCAGCAAGGCTAACATTTCAATGTTTGAATCTATTTGGCCCTGCTGAAAAAAGCGAATTAAACCAGCTTAAGTTGGTCTGCGGTGATTTAAATAATTAAATACAAGAGGGAAGTTATTTTTTCCCTCACTTCTTTAAATTACTAAGGAACAGCCATGTATAAAAAGCAGAAAATGTTGAAATGAAGAAGAGGGAACAAACAGAGGCTGAAGAAAATAAAGGAGGACAGCAGAAAGTTTCACAATGTTTTATGTACTCATAGACATGAGTCAACAGATTCTTTTATCTTATTGGAGACAGAACCAGAGGAAGAGCGATCAGATGACATCATAATAGTGAATTATGCTAAATTACAGTCAGAAAAAAAGAATGAAATATAAAGGAGAAAGAAAAAAAATCCCAAGGGGGGCTACACAACAATCAGAAAGACGGAAAGAGCAATAGGAACAGTCCTGTGATGGATAACTCCTCTGAACAACCACAAAAATCATAATAACAATAAATTAACATGATTATCAGTTTGTAGAAACGATACCACTTGAAAAGAGACTATGTCACACCAACAGCATTCAGATATTCCTAATGGGAACCTGACTGTAGGGCTCAATTTGTGTGGTTTTTCCCGACTATGTCTGCGTTTCTTCTCACGTTTGTTTTTGCTATTTTCAACTTGCATTGTTTTTTGGTTTTTTTTTTTACATTTTTTCATTAACTTGACAATTTTTTGTCCTGGTTTAGCTGGGGTTGGTGTTCACCCATAGCTGGCACGCGGTATTGAGGTGATGCGTTTGTATCTAGTGCGGCCGTATCTCAGCCACCTCGGCCTTCTGATGCCCGGGAGACAGAGCGTTCAGGACTTGATGTTGAGGGCACGGGCAGATCTCTCGTGATGCCAGTCTCTCAGCCTGGCATAGCGGGGACTCTGAATCTCAGAGAGGAACTTTTCCCTGCCATTCATTGCACGACAGAGAACAGGAAATTAGGAGAGCAGTGAGAACAAAACAGAGGGAGAGAAAGACATAGAAAGACAAAAAGAAGGGAATTAAAATAAGGTTGAGAGAGAAGCAGAATAGAAAGACAAATCAGAAGGGAATGAAGAAAGATTAAAAGATGCAACATATGCAAGCAGTGAAGAATTCAAAAAAAAAAAAAACTCAGGTGTATCTGTAGATAACCAGGCCCAGACAGAATCTGCAGACTTTTTCCCACATTTCCTGTCTTTTCCCACAAAACCTGCTAAATGGATTTGGAACAACATTTAAATAAGCCAAATGCTTTAAGGGCATTTACACACAAGAGAGAATGTTCTGATGGATAGCAATGCACAAGATGCTTTTTTTAAGGGTATAGAAAACATTTGGTTTGAAATCAAGTATAGGAAAATAGGAAAGTCTATTTCTGAAAGCAGAACTGGGTTGCGTCCAAATTCCCATTATTTCACAGAAGTGCATTCTGTAGGTATTAGGGCGGTCGAAATCTAATTTGCCCAAGAAGCGGTTTTAATTCTTATCGATGATAAAAACGGTTATGCTACTTAATATTTTTGCGGAACCAGTGATAATTTTTTTTTCAGGATTCTTAGTATCGCATTCATTTGAAATAGAAATGTTTTGAAGTATTATAAATGTCTTTACTGTCACTTTCGACCAATTTAATGCATCCTTCCGGAGCCTAGAAATATTAATTTTCTTCTTCAAAAAAAAAAAAAAGCACTCCAAACTGTTGAAAGGTAGTGTACTTGAAAAAAAAACTTGGAATGGAATAATTTCATAAACCCTTGCATTTTTTCCTCTACATAATCCACCCATCAAAAATCAATGAATTTGAATTGTTATCTGAAACGGCGTAAAATAGATCTACAAAACTGTATTTTATACATGACAGGCATTTATATCCTGCAGAAATCTGTGGGCATGATTCTGTGTGGGTCTGATTATAAGGCACACAGCACTCCGTGTATGAATTTATACTGCAAATGCACAGATCAGACAAGGGCTCATAATGCGGATCAAAGCATATTTTCAGCATTTCTCCGCAGAGAGCTGATCTCTTAATGAGGGTAGCAAAAGGTCAGAGCTAGCGGTTTAATGCTTCAAACTGCACTTCATTAGCAAGTTCACACAGTTCTTTACCTGGACCTTTTCATGTTCTCATCATCCGGGTCCTGCACTGAGGGAAGCAGGAGAGATACCAATCAGACCAACCATTAGACACACAAATCCACAGCCAAGGTCTGCACAATGCTACAAAACACTTGAGGATTGCTGCTTTTAAAGGAACTACCCATCACCTTTCAACATGAGAGTCAATCCCGTGAGATGTACAGGAGCGGTACGGCAACAATGGTTGACTGAACACCTCTTTCCTACCACTTACACAAGAGCAAATCACAGCCACTCAGGCTCTAGATCACATAAAGCAGAAAATCTCAGCCATAACCCTTTAAGCTATAGATAGACGACATTCCCCACTTCTTTATGATCTCGCTCTCAATATC